ATTTGACCTTGGTCTAACGACCGCGTGCGACTAGTCATGATGAGATTTTGCTGACAGGCTCGCCACTCCGGCTCAGTTGTATGCAGCTTGGTCATTTCATGGCGATCGAATGCATAGCCATTCAAGTTGGTATATTATTATGACAGGCTTTGATTTTGAAGAACGCAAGCAACGTAAGTCCTGCCTGTTTGACGCTCCATATCTTTTACAGACATGACGTCCTCGTATCGGATGAGTTTGGGCCAACAGTCTTCTCAGACAACACTCTCATCCTTCATCTCGTTTGAGTCCTCCTCGGCTGATATCGAGTCCTGAGACAGTGTATCAAGTCTCATCCAGGAAGAAAGGAGGAACTGGCATGCTCTTGATAGCCTCCAGTACTTGGTACCACTCTAGTCGCCCCTCGAGGATAATGCGGCGGAAGGGCTTGCCCCGGCCCTTGGAGGGGACGACCAGTTCCGGGAACGTTCTCAGTAACATGCTCTGTACAAAGGAAGACATTTCCTTGTCCTCCAGGCCGTCAATGAACTCCCAGATAAGCAGTTTGTGGGCATGGGTGGTTGGCGGCTCCTCTGCTCTGGCTTTTGCGTCGATGAACTTTGCAAATCTGGTAAATGCCAGGCGACGTAGTCGACCGTCAGAAGCTTTCTGCTTAATGACTTGATTCCTCTCTGTAGTCCGACGCTCGACTGATTTAGCGGCGAGGCGATGATGGACCTTTGATCTTGTATCCTGTTTCCGAAGCGGCTTGACTGGTTTCGCCAATTTTACGCCTGTTGCAGTGGCCTCCCGTGATTTCACCCCTGCTGCGCTCCTTAGAGTCCACCTTGTAGGTGACTGCACCGGTCCCAGAGAAGATGTTCTTCTAAGCTTTCGTCCTGTGACTTTGTCGACTTTGTTTGGCTCCGCCACATTGTCATTTGCAGATCTGGCCTTCTCCGTCGATGTCCTATCGACGGTGAGCCCCTTGTTTCTGGGACTCTCAGGTTCGCTTCCACTCTCTGAAGCAGTGGAGATATCGTCTGCAGGAGCTTGATGGCGGTCAGTCGCATAGTTGCGAGCGTGCTTTTAAGACTGCCATACCTGGTTCGATACTTTCTGCTTCCACGCTTTTCTCTGGCACCATTGCCGTTGTAGCTACTTTTGCTGCAGCCTCGCCTGGATACGTGACCAGGTCCTCACTGGGCACGATAGGCTCTTCTGTGATCGAGATGCTCCGTGCCGTGACATCCTGCTGGATTTGTCTCGTTTGGTCAACCAACCTGTTTACATCAGCTAGGAGACTTTCACGCTGTGTGTTGAACTCGGAGACCATCTCAATCATCTTCTCATGTTTCTGGCGAAGTTCTTTCTCCAAGTCCTCGACGCGCATATGCTCAGATGGGTCGGGCTGGGATTTGGCCACCATCGCCTGCAACGCTGTCATTTCCTTCTCGAGAGCGCCCATGGCTCGCTCCGCCTGCTGTCGCGCCGCAGAGTCAATGGAGGCTTTGGCCTCTACAGCTTTGACGCGGTCGTACATTCTGGCGAGACTGCGCTGGGTATTGCGCACATCGTACGGGAAAACAGGATTGACTAGAGAGATGGCTAGCTCAGTGGCATTGCGAGGATACTCGGATTGGTGGGACAGCAGCGTCTCGCAGCTGTCGGTGCCTTGTTGTTGCTGGGGTTGGCCGCTGAGAAACAATGGTCGACGTTGAGCATGGACAGTAGGCTCGCGTTGGTTCATGTCGCGAAACGTTGCCTCTGGGCATGAGCTCAAGCTCCTGCGAGCTGGGAGTAGACCTGATGAGGGGAGGGAGGGGACCGAAGGCAGATCCATGACTTGAGGGAGGGCAAGTGGGATGCTCGCGAACAGCGATCAATAGGGTAGGCGCAGAAGCTACAGAGGAAGCCCGCGAACAGGCCGGCCAGACAATGATAGTTTACGAAGTCATCGTGGTGATATGAAGCGAGGTAGGGCCAACAAAGACCGTGAGCATGAGCAGAATAGTATTCACTCGTGAGGAAGCGATGATCGACCGTGACTTCCCCGTTGCAAGGCCACCAGAGCAACTACAAACGACATGATCGGGGTTGCGATTGCCGCCTTACTGACCAGCGTCTCGGGTACTCGTCCATTCGGCAGCCTCTCCCTTGTCCCTCCTGTCTGCAATCCACGACAAGAAGAGCTCAACGTCCTTCGCGACAACCCCGACGACCGCCCTCGTCTGCACCCACATGGGCAGCACGCCCTTCGCATCCGATGCCGTGGCCATGAGCCACTCGATCTGCCCCAGTTCGGTGCGGCGAATCCTCTCAACGCTCACGTACGCTCCGATAATGATACCCTTCTCCTTAACCAGTCCAGCCAAATCCGAACCCTGGAGATCCCTGAGCGGTACCGAAACGACCACAAACTCATCCCGCCCGCGGGCCGCCGCCGCCACCATGACCGTACCAAACACGCGGTCCCTCAGCAAGCTCCCCGGCATGGCATGCCTCATCTCCTGCACGCACAGCACCTCGCACACCCACACCTCGCCCGCGACGTCCACTTCGACCCCCGCCGCCCCCTCCCACCGCGCCCCCTCGCGGCTGTCGACGATGCCGGGCGTGAACGCCCTCTCGCTCGCCCGGTGCCGCTCGAGAAAACACGCCGCAAACTCGCGCCAGCTCGCCGTCCCTCGTGTCGCGGCGTCGGCGTG